AGCCCTGGGCGTCTTTGGGGGGCAGTTCCATTCTGTCTTAGAGGGTGATGAGAACTCAGAATAGACTGAATAGGGCTTTGTTTCTGTAGGGCTTGAGGGGGTTTAAAACCCTCCTTAAAAGAGAATCTGGTAGAGTCACCCTCTAGCCATCCTACCATCTCAATATCCTTCCTGTATAGATAATAATGGGAACTCAGAGACCCCATGGGTCCTTGTACTCTATTTGTCCCACGGGTAGCACAGTTAAGAGCCAATTAAATGAATGATGAATAGTGATATAACTTTGCCCTCATCAAACATAAGTATTTATTCAGTGGAGATATAAATTTAATTTCACAGCAGTTTATTCCGTTCAAGCCAACCTCTTCAAAGAAACGTGGAAAATCAGCCAATAGCATTGCTGGGTGATAAAGGTCTTGGTTAAACAATTATACATGGCACAAGCACTGGGAAGAGCGTCCCTTTTTTGGATAGAGAGTTTCATCATTCCATAATAGAGCAATCATCACTGGGCAAGCTGGGAGTAGACGTCTCCAGCCAATTCTCTGTAATGCTATGGAGATGCAGCTCAAAGGAGATGCCGTCTAAACAATATCTATCTCCTGATCTGGTTTATTGTGGAGTACCATAGTCTACCCTTTCAATATATATAACAGTATAGTAACACTATAAACCACCATCACCCCTTTTTTGGGTACTTGCTAGAAGAGTCTAGTTATCATGGAGTAGGATAACATTTAATGAAAGAAAGTATCTATTTGACTTTCAATTCCTCCCCTAATTTTAACCCCCAAAAAACTTCACATTGACTGCTTTTGATTAGAAAAGTGTGAATATCAACAAAAAACAAATTTAAGGGAATCCCTTGCACTGTGAACAAAAAGGAGTGAAAAAGTGTAAGTCATCCAATCAGATCAACGCTTCACCCTGGATTCTGTTTACAAACCCTTCAGCTCACATTGCTAAAGGAAGGGAAAGTTTTTGATCTGAAGTCATTTGGCTTTCCGATGGTGACATTTAAGAGGCAAGTGGATAACATTATTTTTATGCCAACCTTTTTGGACATGATGAAGATGTAAATATAAAACAGCTTTGACCAAATATGAAATTGAACCTGCACATGCAATTTCTTCACATGTGTGCACTTAACAATGAACAACCTTTGTTTCAATAACTGTGCACTCATCACTCAATAGCAAGTGGTCCAAGTCGTTTCAATTCTGGCTGCCTCACCTGCAAGCCCAGTTGCTTCAGTGGGACAGCTGAGTCTGTTTACAAAAGAGAAGCGATGGAGAGCAAGCCTGCAAATGAACCCTTGAGGAACCCTGCCTAGGTCAGAACCAGCGCCTCTTTCATTTCTACAACTCCTAGGGAAAGTACGGGGGGAAGGGGGGAGAATAATGGATTTGAAGCCCTACTGAGTGCCATACAGGCAAAGCACATATTTGCGAGATTGCCTAACAGACACATACCTGTAGACACAAGCTTGTGCAGACTACCACCACAAGTTCGGATCTACGGGTTTGTGGCAACAGGCCTTAGTATCTTCTCTTGTTTGGGGGTCTGATATGTCTGAAAATAAAATGTTAAAACCATTAGTCCAACAAATGCTTTGGCCAGTCTATTATTTCCTGCCCGAAATGGAAGGGCTCCCCGAAGGGCCACTGTTTCTAGGCTCTCTCCCACAGAGGTCACCTTCTCTCGGTTACCACACAGGTAACGACTCGGGGGGAGGGGGGGCACACCCCAATCTCATCCCAACTGTTCCCTACTGTGGCAGACACAGTCTTGTCCAAGAACTGTCCATGCGACCTGGGAACGGTTGGAGGTTTCAGAGGAACGGAGAGGGAGAGCAGGAGACTCCATAGACACGCTCCTTTTGAAATACCTGCAACTACATGGAAAAAGTTGTGGAAATGTTCCTTTTTTATCTGTGTTCTGGAAAATACCTGGGATATGATTTTTGCAAGCATCACCAAGAGCTTTGTTAGAGCATCTTCTGAAAATTATTTTTGGAAAAACTATGTATTCTGGTTAAACCGGGGAATTAATCTCTAGGAAAAAGGTGTGTTTTTGTTCTCTCTCTCTCACCCGGTTATTGGCCCAAACCCTAATGATGAACAAGTTTGAGCATCCTGTAACATTTGGATCAGAGAAGAACTTCAATAATTACTCTCCCCAGAGAAATCCTCATATGAAAGAATGTCAATGGCCAATATAAGTCATTCTTCCTGCAAAGCCCACATGCTACCTTTAAGAATAAAGTATCCAAGGCAATGAGCTTCCATTATTGATTCATGAGACACTTTTTGTGAATTTCATCTGAAAGTATAGTCTCAATCACCAGTACTCTGAGAACACAGGATGGGAAATTAAATGACACCCTTTCTGGATAATGGAAAAATCATATACCTCCATCTCTTTGCAGGACCGAAAAAGAGACCTTTTAAAATTTTGGTTGGCAGTGGCTTGGATGCTGACTTTGGACATTATTTAAATCCTTGCCTCAATTTTGGGGCATTGATTCCTTTCCCAAGAATCTGGGAGAAGAACTGACGCTCTGCTCATAACTAATAAGAAAACTGACGTAATGTAATTTGGGGATTATTCAGGCCCTCACAGACACAATTTGATGCATCCTATCAAGAGAATGAGACACTGAGACCAGGAAGAACAGGGGCTGAGGTAAGGCCATTCACAGACATCCCCTTGTTCGTCTCGTCGAGCCCATTGTATCAGGATGTGAGTGAGCTCTGAGCAGGATTGCCTGCAGCCGAGAGGTGCTGCTGAGGTTGCCAGAACTAAGAAACAAGTATCGTTCCTTAGATAACTCTTAGATCCAATGAAGCTACAGCCAGTGGAAGTAGTGCTGACCCTTGGGCAACATGGGTTTGAACATTTTGTAGTAATACTTTAAAAAAAATATGCGCTGTGACCCTAATCATCTGGAGAGCAGTTTGTCTCTGGTGAGTTGTGTTCTCATAGTAAAAAGTAGTATCTCATTATTCTTTTGCATTTTTTATTGCGTTCAGTCCAATACCATAAACCTTACCAACACCATGGGTCCCGTGTGAAGTGCCTCTAATGGTGCGGGAGGTGTTCCAAAGGTGCAGAGGAAAGTCATGCTACTGCACGAAGCTAAGTGTGGGGCCTGTATGCCAGATTGAAGTTTGTAGCTGGGGTCTTTGGCCATTTCAAGGTAAATGAACCTAGTGTAAAGACTAGTGCAAAAAAGAAAAGGAATTAGTGAAGCCACAGCTGCCTCTATGGCAGCAGGTACATAAGTCATGTACTTTTTGCCAAGGACCTTGTAGCTCTCACTGAAAATGCAGCCTCTGTGTGGTGTGTTCATATTATTGGCAGGGCTTTTGGTCAACAGTAGGCTGCACTGAATGGGGGTCACAGCTTCACCCCGGTATTGTTCAGGGTTGATTGTAGATTCAAACCAATATCACCTCAAAACAGTGTTTACTTCAATGTATTTTTCTCTAAAATGTCCATTTCCTTTCAAAATAAAATTATTTTTAATAAAACCCTTATTTTCGTTTGATTCCTCTGATGGAGGTACAGGGCCAGAAGTATTTAAGGAGCACATTGGGTGCCCTCAAGGCCTGATGGAACACTGGCAACATAAGAATGGAAGGGAACAAGCTCAGAATCTTGAGTGATAACTCGTTCTTGCAATCTTATTTCTTTAAATTATAGAATGCAATATGTATTAGCAATGGACTAAACTCTCTCAGTGATACATTTAGTCATTGAAATGGAAGCAGCATGCTCTAAACCAATCTCATTGCCATTGAGTCGGTTCTATTTCATAGTGACAGGGTAGAACTGCCCTTGTGGGTTTCTCAGACTGTAATTTTAGCCATAAGTAGAAAGCCTCATCTTTTTCCTGAGGAGCGGCCGTTGGCTTTGAACTGCTAACCATGTGATTAGCAGCACAACTTCTCACCACTAGTCACCACTAGCCTCTACATCCATCCAGGGTAGCTCAATGCTGGGTTCCAGTGGAGATTTCTCGATGTCTTTCTTTGACAAAAGTGAAGCAGAAAGAAGATATCCATTCCAATTGGGTTTTAGTGTCAGATTTCAAACAATCTACCATTCTAGTCACAGAAAACAGAGGAAATGTAAGAATGTGAAAATCCTATTGAGAAAAAAGAAATCCAAACACTGGCCTAGTAGAGGAAATGTCTTTTTTTGTTTTTGTCAAGTAGGTAGTCTCTCCAAAAGTAAAGTTTTGTTGCTAGTTTAGGTTTTTTTGTTTGTTTGTTTGTTTGTTTTTTCAGAAGAAACCTCTGCTTGCTTAGTTAAGCAAAACTCTGTGAATCTCCCTGACATGGGTAGTTACCCTAACAGTTAAATTGGGAAATGTGGGCTAATGCCTACATGCACAAAGGGAAAAAAATGGTAATTACCAAGCAATATATCATTTATTTGTGTTATTAAACACTTTTGGTGATACGAAACCCTCTAGTAGTACTAAAATGAAACTGTCTACCTCCCAAATCCTAATCATTGGGTAGATGTCAAGATAGATCCCTAAAATGGCATTTAGTATTACCAATAGTTTCAACATTGCTATTATATATATGTATATATATATTTTTTCATTGATATTATATATTAAACGTATGTTGTAACTTTCAGGAATCCTGAGAACATAAAACTATCATCTAATACTTGGATTTTTGAATTCATATGTTCAAATAGCCACATATTTTAAGGTTCATGCCTGATTGTGTCAACTGGGTTGATCGTTGTCAAAAAGAAGCCAAACATTCAAAAACATTTTCAAAGTTTCCTAAAAGCCAATGTCATTGACTATTCTTTTTGGCTTGCACATATGTTAAAACCGCCATTTTTAAAAATTAGATTTAAAATGCACTCATTCTCCATGATTAGGTAATTAAAGTATACCCTCGAGTCTTGAAGTAATGGAGGAAATGGATTACCGAATCGGGGCAAGTATAGAAAATGCCATTACCTGAACAGAGTAACTTCTTATAAATTTTATTTTTAAATCTGCTGCCATCTGTTAGGCCAACATCTTCCAATTGTTCACCACATCTGGAAAAATAAGACATTAAATTTTATTATTATTATTTTAGAATTCAGATTCTTTGTTTGTTGTTTCTTTTTTTTTAACCCAATTCCTTTTTGCAGCTCAATTGGGAATAACACCAAAAGGAGAGTTAAAAAAATAAGTTGAAAAACCCAAAGTATTTCTAGATAAACATTTAGAGGCATTATATTTATTTAACTTCCTGAACCACACATAATATAAAGGTTCTGCAAAGAAGTAACTTTCATACTTTTCCTGGAATTTCCCTGGCTACCAACAGACCTTCACAACTACTTCCCCCCAAGAAAGGGGCAAATAAGGATGTGCAGTCTTGAAACGCTCCAAAATGTCAATGTTTTATACCAAACCACTCACTTGCTCAATATAATTTAAGGTCGGCCATTGGTATCTACAGAATCGAGTCTGGTTAAGGTATAATCAAATGGTTCAGTTGATTACAGCATGACTTGACATCACTGAAACACGGCTGAAATTTTTTGACTCTGAAATGCTTCAAGAATCTCTCTCTGCTAACGGGGCTGTTAGGAAGAACCAGAATACCTGATTGTTGTCAATTCACGAATAGCCCTCTTTGAGCACAGCAAGATTTGGGGCTTCCAATTCCAAAGTGCTTTCATTGGCTATGTATGAGATGCAGGGCCTCCCTTTCCTTGTGTAAGGCAAACTCACTGTGCAGCTGCTTGAAACAGGAAGAACCATATCTGAACTTTATCTGGTCGTGGAGTTGAACATGAAATCCATGGTGCTGCATGGCATCACCAGAAAGTTTTTCTGTCGGCCCCCATTCACCTTCTTTTGAAAAGATGTGCTTCCTGTATGGAACCTTCACACGCACACACACACATATACAATGTAGGATTAGAGGGTACGAGGAAATTCATTTGGATTGACCAAAGGGAGAGAGAAAGCAACAAAAGAAAAGGAGGTGAACAAGGCAAGAGAGGAAAACGAAAAAGAAGGAAAGAGGGAGGGAAGGAAAGAAGGCAGGTAAAAAAGGAGGGAGGGAAGAAGGGGGGCAGGGAAGGAGGCCATGGAAGGATGATAAAGCAAAACCCCAATCTGCCATTTGGCAACAGCATGAAGCAGAGGAGACAGCTAGTTTGGGTCTCCCTAGGGCTTTGTAGCTTTTCTGTTGGCTTTTCTCTCACCATCCTCAGCCCTCAATTTTAGCCGAAAGATGCAATCCCCTAAACAAAGGATCACATAGTGATTCCTGCTCCCCAGAAGGAAGTCACTGGTGCCACACCCCGCCTTCTCCACCTGGGACTGTGCCACCCAGGAACCAGCGCTCAGTATGGAAGCGTCCACCAGCAAGCCAGGCAGAGGGTCTGGGCACCAGTCAGCCCATTTATGCGGATTTCTTCTTGTCCAGGAAAAACTGACCAGGAGGGTGTGGGGAGACTAGTGAAGCAAAGGGGGGACTTGCAATTGATATTTACAATCTTCTTCCTTCCCCCTTACTCATAACATGTAGTCTATAAAATGAAAAACGGAAATGTGCGGGAGCGCCTGAAGAACAAAGACAAGAAAAGGGCTGAGATCGACTACGACAGCTCGAACTACAGCAAACGATTGAGGTAGTGGGGTTCTCGGAGAGGTCGTTTAACAATGACCTTAAGTCAGTTTAATGTTCACATGGAACCGATGTATAAGAGAGATCAGCAAATTAGAAGGAGAAGCTGGTGGCAGATTTGCTTTCGTCACAACGGGAGAAACAAAAGCGAAGGGGCTTTGCCAATAGCAAGTTGTTTCATGAGCAGCTGGACGTGGGAAACTGCTTTCACTTCCTAAAAAAATGAGTTTTCAGAGGATGATGACTCCCATAGCCACTTACAGAAATACAAATGACGGTTTCAGCCTACCACATCCATTCCAGCGACGTCAGTAGTAAAGCAGGGAAGGGGGTTTCTAAGAATGAAAATGAAAGAGAGTGGCAGGCAGACATGTCAGCATGGTGTACAGTATTTCAAAATTCACGGTCTGTCCTCTTCTTACTGTACATAAGCTGCACAAATGATTCCTATAGGTTAACCAATTCGAACATATTCTATGCCAAGCTATTCTTTGCTCTTGAGAAAGCACAGCACAATGAGAAAGCTAGGAGAAATTACCGAAGGCAAGAGGTGGCTTGGGAAAGAACAGAGGTAGATCAAAGGGATGTTAAGACTACGTGAAGAATCTGTTTCTTTAGAAGTTACGTAACTGTGTAACAATGGCATTCTTGTTCTAGGATAGATACAAATGACCCAGAATGTCCCAGATGATAGTTACAGAATCAAGAGAAACATCACCTCCCTTCAAACTTGCTTCAGCGGAAGCAGAAAGAACTCCACCCTCCCGCCACCATCCAGACTCACTCCGGGCATCCAGACAGCCGGCCAGCTCCCCCGTCGGAATTTCACCCCAGGCTATTTCTGCTCATCTTGGGTTCTGTGTCCACCGATTTCTACATTTCCCTCTTCAGTTGGAACCACCACCAAATAGAGGGCCATAATTTTTATGGCCCTTACCAAATTAAAGTTTGGGAAGGAAAAACACTGTGAGAATGCTAACCTACATTGTCTACTTCCTAGCCTTACCCGTTCTCCAAATCTGCTTTTGCTTTCCACACACACACACACACACAACTACACAACTGCTGCTGTTCGGTCCAATCTGGTGCCTGTTTAGCAACAACAGTGTAACGTATAATAACTGTTTATAAAAGAGTCAAAATCTAACCTGAACATTTGGGGGCTAGGATTCTTTGTTTTCTATTCTTTCCCTGGGTCTAAAAGGGGAGGAGGGCTGAGAAGAAGAAATATTAAGATTTATTTCCAAATCCGCTCCAGTGAGCCATCACTCCACTGCCCTAGAGCCGTGGCAAGGTAAAGCAATTTTAGCTGAAATCACGGCAGTGTCTCTGGCTGTCTCCCCTGCAGCAAGCCCAGACACAGGAAATCCAACCGCACCAATCCCCCAATTCCGTTGTTTTCTCCCGGCTTTCCGTTCATCTTCTACTTAGAATTGCAGGCCTGGGTGGAGTGAGAGATTGAAAAAGAATCATGTAAGACAGAAAGAGGCAAGAAGTAGAAGAAGGGAAGGCACTATCCCTCCCCCATTTTGTAACACCCAGGCCTGTAAACACGCGCCTTTACACATACGCAGCACACAGGAGCGTGCAGCAGCAGCGGCAAGGCTGCAGTAGAACACTGCACAGCTGTGGCCATCAGTCACAGCCACCATCATTCCCCCACGGAGACGTGACTTTCTGGAAAGCACCCAAAGTCCACAGTCACAAAGCAAAGGAGCCGTGCTACCTAAATGGGGGAGGGGAGGGCGGGAGCTGGTAAGGGAGAGGAAAGTCATGCTCACCAATCACAGCAATACATGTGTGGTCCCATAGGAAGAGGGGGCTGGTCGAAACCCAACTCCTGCTTCTCTCGGGGTTTGGAAGAAACCCACACACATAAAGGGAAAAATAAATTCGACAAGTTGCGAAGGAGCCTGGTGTAAGCGCCAAGCGCAGACATATTTCTTGGCCTTTCCCCCTCTGTTCCATCTCGTATTCTGATCACGCTGCTCTGCGGCAACGGTGCTCCAACCTTCTGCATTAATCTTGGCCTTAACCATGCAGACTGGCAAAGCAGACTGGCTGTATAGATCATCATCTTTCAAATTTAACAAGTTAAAGGGGGGGTGTGTGTGTGGGGGGGTGTGCACTGCGTGTAGGTGTGGAGCTGATGGGGAGAGAAGTGGGGAATGCTAGAACCTCGATTTGTAATTTTATACACTGATGATGAAAAAAGGGCACTTAGGCTGACTGGCAGGGGGGTGGCACTTTTGCCTGTGGATTGCTTCCTTTTTGCCATGCCTCTGGCCTCCTGCCACCTTTCCCACATCTCCAATTAAAATCTCATGTCCCCTGGCAGATGTAAGCCTGGTCAGAATCACTGTAGATGACAGAGTAGGGGCCAGCTTTCCATAGAAACAGTGTATTCCACAAAGTGCCTTGCTCCCCCGCTCAGAAGGGGGCCTGAGAAAGCAAACTGGGACAATTCATAATATCTCTCAAGCACATGCATCGTGCTTCTCAACCAGTTAGCATGTAGACCTCCTCGCTCTCTGGCGCCTGGAGCAGAGAATTTCCCCCACTGTGACATATCTTCGGTATCCATCAATATTTGATTTAGGGGGAAATTAACATTTTATTTCAGGACAGAGATGTTTGTACTGTAGAAGCCAATATTTTCCTTTCTCAGCCTCCTGTATTAGAATTTCCCAAATCTTCCCTGGGACTGAGAGGGCACAGATAACCAATAGCCCAAATAGTAAAAACCATTGCTTGGGATGCTAAGGAAAACATGTGACCCAACGTGAAGTTGAGGTGTGTGTGTGTGTGTGTGTGTGTGTGTGTGTGTGTGTGTGTGTGACTTGCCTCCCTGTGCTGTGTGGTGTCTGAGAGTAGAAGGCACACATCAAGAGCTGGAGGGTACGCATTGCTCAGTCCTTAGCCAAAGGAGGGAAGTTCACAAACATTTGCCCACCAGCCACAATGCAAAAGCTCCATTGCTTAAATCACCATTCTCAGCAGAGTGGCCACAGAAGGAGGACGGGGTAAAAGGCTGGGGCTGGGTGTGCCTCTCTGTGCTACAGAAAGGCTGTGCAGCCTCCACCTCCTCCCTTTGCTAAATGAACTTGATACAATTTTCATCCTTCAAGGTTAAAACAAGCTGTGCTGTGAAGGGAACTCTTCAGCGAACAAGATGGGGATTTGAGCCCTGCTAGTCACAGGTCCAAAAAACCCAGCTCTTTCTTGTGGGAGCCTGGAGATCTTTGGAGTTCTGGTTGACCTTTTCCCTACAAAAGCACGTCCTCAGATGTGTGGGGCACTGAGCCATCATGACTCAATCAAAATGAAAAACGAACCTTGAGGGAGAAGAGCAGGGTGGGCCTATCCCAGCAAGCAGCAGGACAATTACCCTGTGACCTGCTTGGCCTGGGG